TAGTTTTGATATGTATTTCCCTGATGATGAGATGTTGAACATCTTTTCATGTATCTGTTAGCCATTTGTACATCTTCTTTGGAGAAATGTCTATTCATGTCTTCTGCCCGCCTTTTAATTGGATTATTTGGTTTTTTGGGTGTTGAGTTGTGAAAGTTCTTTATATATTTTGGATACTTAGCCTTTATCGGATACGTCATTTGTAAACATCTTCTATTCTTAAGGTTGCCTTTTAGTTTTGTTGATTGTTTCCTTTGCTGTGTAGAAGCTTTTATTTTGATGAAGTCCCAGTAGTTATTTTTTGCTTTTATTTCCCTGGCCTCATGAGACATATCTAGAAAGAAGTTGCTACAGTCAGTGTGAAAGAACTTACTGCTTGTGTTCTCCTCTAGGATTTTTATGGTTTTAGGTCTCACATTTAGGTCTTTAATCCATTTTAAATTTATTTTTGTGTTTGGAATAAGTAAGTGATCCAGTTTCATTCTTTTGCATATTGCTGTCCAGTTTCCCCAGTACTGTTGGTTGAAGAGACATTCTTTTTCCCATTGGATATTCTTGCTTTCTCAAAGATTAATTGACCATGTAGTTGTGGGTTCCTCTCTTGGTTGTCTGTTCTGTTCCATTGATCTCTGTGTCTGGTTTTGTGCCAGTACCCTATTGTTTTGATCACTATAGCTTTGTAATACAACTTGAAGTCTGGGATTTTTGATACTCCTATACTACCCATTTTAGAGAAGAAAAACTTATAAGCAGCAGAAAAGTCAAGTGACTAGCCCAGAGTCACATAGGAGAAATGAAAAACAAGTTCAAGGGTCAGTTTGAGGAACTCTCCCAGATAGTAGAACCAAAAGACAAAGACATGGAAAATAGAGAAATAGTAAGAAAATTAGAGGACTATTCAGTGCAGTGTCAAAAGATATTAATTCCAAAAAGTGAGAATAGGTGAAAAAGGGGACGAAGGTAAAAAGTAATTGATTCAAGAAAATTTCCCAGAACCAAGGGTATTTGTTGCTAGATTGGAAGGGCCCAGTGGATATTTAACAAAATGGATGAAAATTGACCTATGTTGAGAATCAGTGTGAAATTTGAAAGCACTAGGAGCAAAGAGATTTTATAAGATTTTACAGGGAACAGAATAGGTCTTATAAAGGATCAAGAATCAGAGTAGGCTTAGACTTCCCAACAATAAGCACAAAAATAAGAAGGCAATGAAGAAATACTTTTCAAAATCTGAGGTTAAATGCTTTCCATCCTATGGTTTTATAATCAATCTATTAATCAAGTGTGATCTCAAAACTTAGTTTATATATACCCCTTTTCAAGAAGGTACTGGGTGATATACAGCACCAAAAGGAGAAAATGAAACGAAGAGAAAGATATGGGACATAAGAAACAGGAGAGGTGACATAGGAGAGAGATAAGAAGAGATCTCCAGGACAATGATGAAGGGAGATCCCAGGATGGCAGCTGTGTAATAGACATATGACAGTCCTTCTAAATTGGAACAGTTTTACTTAACAGATATAGGGGGAAGCTACTGTCAATGAAATGCCAGTTGCCTTTTAACAGTTTTTTTTTTTAAAGATTTTTTTTTAAAGATTTTATTTATTTGAGAGAGAATGAGAGAGAGCACATGAGAGGGGGGAGGGGCAGAGGGAGAAGCAGACTCCCTGCTGAGCAGGGAGCCTGATGCGGGACTCCATCCCGGGACTCCAGGATCATGACCTGAGCCGAAGGCAGTCACTCAACCAACTGAGCCACCCAGGCGCCCCTTTAACAGTTTTTTTTTAAAACCTGAGAACAAATTACTTAACATGTGATAGGCCCATATTCTTAGAACTACTTGGCTTGTCTTGACCACGTACTGATTCAGTTCATGCTCTCTCTTCTAGTCCTCCTGCCTGGATCACTTGAACATTCTCACTTCACTCCTTGAAAAAGTGGTCTCCTTTGATTTACTTCTGAGAGTAGAGGTAGACCGTGGTGAGAATTGGGAAATATAAAGTAGTCTACTTCCTATACCTTATTCATGCCAGGTATCTGTTACCTGTCCCACACTCATAGATGCTTCAATTCTTCTGACCTACGTATTTCCCAGTATTTCCAGATGGCCTTGCCAACAGATTTCCCAGGAATAGCCTTATGTATTCTCTTAGAGAAACTGAAGCCCTGTTCCAATTCATAGATTCTCTGTAGCTTGTCTTCTGGTAGCCTTTAGTTAATTATGGTAATATTGCCCTTTCCTCATAAAGCTGGCTAGGTTTGTGCTGTACTAGCTTCTCAAACTAAACACGATAAGTATGTTCACTATATAGGTAGTAGAACTGTTAAAAAAAGAAACAGGTAAGGGCGCCTGGGTGGCTCAGTCGTTAAGCGTCTGCCTTCGGCTCAGGTCATGATCCCAGGGTCCTGGGATCGAGTCCCACATCGGGCTCCCCGCTCAGCGGGAAGCCTGCTTCCCCCTCTCCCACTCCCCCTGCTTGTGTTCCCTCTCTCACTGTGTCTCTCTCTGTCAAATAAATAAATAAAATCTTTAAAAAAAAAAAAAAAGAAACAGGTAGGAAACAATAGAAATGCCAAAATAGTGATTTCCTCTTGGTGGGGATGGGGAGGTTGAGGATGGGCACATAGAGGAATTGTGAGGTAGTGGTGTTCTATTTCTTGGCGTGGGTAGTAGGTATATGGGATTTAAAAAGATTATTCTTTAATCTGTATGTATAAATTGTACATATTCATGTTTTGATATATTTTAATATTTTATGATGAAATTTTAAAAATTCTTAATTTGAGTAAAATCAAAGCAAATGATTATTGAAAACTAAACATATACACCGTTGTTGAAATAAAGGATCTGTTTTCAAAATCACTGTGAGGTTGGTAGTATGAAACTTGCCTTCCTTAGACAATAATAATAGTCACATCAGTGTAGAAATGATCTTCCTAAAGTCAGTTTTCTAAATAGACTAAATGATACTTTAAGAAATAAGATGTCTTCCACTTACTTAGAATTTTCTGATGGCTCTCTCACAGTCAGAATAAAATTCAAAGTCTTTAATACAGTCTATGATTCTCTATAACCATGATCACACCCTACCTGTGTGACCTTACCATCTACAGTTCTCTTTCAAACATCCCAAGCTCATTTTGGCAACCAGGGACTTTGCATTTGTTTTTCCTCCTGCCTGAAACTCTTTTCCCTTTGATATTCATGTAACTTGTTCTCTCACTTTATTTTTATTTCTGTTCAATGTAATAAATATCCTTAGAGACCTTCCCTAGTTACTCTAAACATACCCTCCCACCTAACCTGTCATCTTCAGTTATTCTCTTTTTTCCCCTTCAAAGCTCTTACTGTTACGTGACATTATTTTATATTTTTGTATGTTTTTGTTGTCAGTTTCTTTCATTAGAATATAAGTTCCATGAAAGCAGGGACATTGTGTTTTTCATCACACAGTGCCTGGCATGCTTTGGATGTTCAGTACATTTTGCTGAATAAATAAGGAGGAATTGGACAATTAAAATAACTTAGTTCAGGGAACTTGGCTTCCTCAGTTTGTAGAGCATGAGACTCTTAGTCTCAGCGTCATGAATTCAATCCCCATGTTGGGTGTAGAGCCTACTTAAAAACAACAACAACAACAACAAACAACTTAGTTCAAGAAAATATTTGCTTTCTGGTTATAAAAGAAATTGATATTAATGTTTACTGTGCTGTTTTACTCTTTAGTGTGGGATATATGCATTTCATTTTGAAATATTAAAAAAAGTTTCCCAAAGATTTACAATTAGGAAAATGTTTATTTCCTAAACATTTCTCTCTTGAGCTGTATCCCATTATGATATCATCATACTGTATATATCCCGAGTAAAGACTAGTAAATTGCTATAGAAAAAAATGTGTGCATAACGCATTATTTATACATTTGTTTGCCTTTTACCCATGTGTATACATGCCTATGATTCAAAAAGGCCTATGGATCTTTGTGCACAAATAATCATCTTTTGTTGTCATTTACTACCACCCTCCCATACTACAGCTCAATAAAGATTTGTTGACTAAAGGTTCAATTTACTGTATATATTATAATAGTGTAGATTACAGGAACAGGCAGTTCTAGCATTGTTAAACTTAATTATACCTATACTTTCTGCATGTATTACATTTCTTTTTGAGGGATGTTTCCTATTACAACACCAGTGGAAATCACATAATGGTGGCTGTAATAATCTTTGATAAGAAAATTATCAAGGTAAATGGTTATAAGGCTAACCATGATAATGGGGATGTTCACAGTGCCAGTTACATAGTAGTCACTCACATGGAAGTGGAATGGAGGGATGGATGGATGACCTGGAACTTTCAGGTTATTTTGACCAATTTAGACTTTGAAAATTGTGGTTGTTAAGGCAAAAAAAAAGAAAATTGTGGTTGACCTTTGGGGAAGGGTTGGATTCTTTTTTCATTGCTGAAAGAATTTGTATTAGCTTAGTAGGAAAATGTTTTACTAACTTAATAAATATATGGAGAGCTGTTGTAATAGTGGGCGTAAATTTTTTTTTTTTTTTTTTGCTCTGTTGAGGATAAATTATGGGGAAATGGGTTTTCATTGCAGTTTAAACAATGTATTATTTAGTGCACAAAGCCCTTCACAATGGTAAGTATATATTTAGATCCTGGTACAAGTTATAGAGGTCAGTAGAGTAGTGTATTCTTTTCATGTACATGTTTAAGAATAGACTAAAGATGTTCTTATTGTGGTTTAATGCTGTGCTACCTGTCAGCATCAAGTCTGGCTATCATTTTTTTTTTTTATTATTTTGTTTTTTGTGATTGACTTACTTTTTATTTTATAAGATAAGGATATTCTAGGAACATTACTTTATTGCATTATATAAAACATTTATTTGAAAAATTGTTAAATATTTTAATTTTATATTCTGTATGCTCTTCCTTTTTTTTGTTGCATATTTTGACTGATTTTATGTTTTTCATCTAGGTCACTTTTGAAATACACAAAGAAAATCTTGCCAATATGTTCAGAGAACACCAGGGAAAAATTGATGAAGAAATAGGGCAATGTTCAAGTCCAGTTGAAGCAGTCTCTGCCATTAGCAGGGATGTTAATGTTTCAGTAGCATCCCAGCAATCAGATATGAAGGCTTGTCCTGTGTCTCCTCATAGCACCAGAAATAGTGATGAAAAGTCAACTGTTGAGAAGACAGTTTCAGTAGACTCTGCTTCCATCGTTGAACTGCAAACTCCTAACCCATCTAATGAAGAAAGGAAAACTGGTCAAGAAAGTCAGGAGTTACTAGTTGAAGTCCCTTTAGAAGAAACATTGATAAATGAAACAATTAATACAGGTGATTTAGAAGTATCCTCTGTTATGATAGAAGGTGAGACTGTTTCCTCTAGTTCTTTTAAAACGAGTGTCACAGGTATAATGACTGTTAGTGAAGTAACTGCTTCTATAAGTTCTCCTTCAGAAGAGGATGCCTCAGAGGTGCCAGAGTTATTGGATAAGTCTATGGTAGAGGAAGATGATGACAATTATGTAGAACTGAAGGTGGAAAGTGGTCCTACTGAGGAAGCCAGTCTACCCACAGAGCTCCAAGAAGATAGTTTGTCTCCAGATGCATCTGAAGGCAGTGGAAGACTGGACATGCTTAGTAATGACAACAAATTAATCTTTCAAGAGCAGGAAGCTGTAAGTAAGAAGCAAACTGACAGTGAAACTCAAGATTCCAAAGATTCTGGAATCTTGACTATGACAGCATCAGGGTCTTCGGCTACATCACCAGATACTACTGTTTCCCAGACACCTGCCCAGTCAGACATTGGTGAGATGCTAGAGGAAGGGAAGAAAGCAGCTAACTTGGTGAGAGAAACCAAATTAATTGGTGATTCTCCTGTCTTTGAGTCTCCTACTACTTCTGAGCAGAGGATTGCTAAATTGGATGTTTCCAGTGTTGCTACAGATACTGAGAGATTGGAATTGAAGGCCAATACAAACATGGAGGCATCTCAACCCCATCAGCCTGTGCCTGAGGTGATTATATTTACTGTCTTAGTGCAAGGGTATACACTTACATTTTATTTTATTTTGGAGTTGGTTCATACCCTATTTGCAATTATATAAATATAATGAATGTAAAGATTACATTTGTTATCTTTAGCACAAGATTTTAGTGTGAGTTCATTAAAGGCAGCTTTTATTATTATTTTCACCACAGCATCACCAAAAGTTACTACTTACAAGTTTTAGGATTTTAATAATTCTAGTTTATAAAACGAATATTGGAAATACTTGCCTTTGCCCTTTATTTGATAACCCAATCATAGTTAGTACATTAATTCTCCAGCACAATCTAGGGCTATCTTCTTGCAGAACCACCTGTCAGTATATAATTTTATATATAAAGTATGTAGTTTAAAATTCCTTCCATGAGGAAACAGACGGTGAGGTCTGTTTGCTTTGTAAGAGGGGAGGAGCCTTTCTGAGATCTAAAGGTACTTCTTTCTCTTTTACTAGTATCTCAGAGTGATTCAGGAGACAGGGGTTGATTGCATATTGTCATTTTCCACTCTGTTCAACCAACCATTTTGTTGGTTCTTAATTCTGTTACCTTTATGTTTGTTTTTAATTCTAACCAATTTATAGTCCAGACCCTGCCTTCTTTCATGCTAATATTCAAATCTAAGAATCTTGATTCTTTTACGCTGCATTTGCTGGTGGTATTACTAAGATGGTTGCAAGCTAATTACTGTTGAATTATGGTAGTTTAGCATTTTTGATAACTTTGCTCTAAATGTGTTAAAGTTTTAATGTTACTACTCATTGATAATTTTTCTCTAATTTGGTTCCTTAGTATCTGAAAATATTATTTGTTAGATGAATTGCATTGAAGCTATTATATTATTAATGCCTTCTTTGAAGTGAATTTATTTTACTACTCTTTTAAATTTTCTGTATTAGATGTCAAGGCGGCAGGAGGAACCAGGTCAAGGAATAGCACCAGATGGAGTTACTGGACAAAGGAGGGATTCCAGATCCGCTATGTTTCGTATTCCTGAGTTCAAATGGTCTCAAATGCATCAGCGTTTGCTCACTGATCTATTATTTTCAATAGAAACAGATATACAGATGTGGAGAAGGTTTGTCCATATGTTTGTTATAGAAGATGTGTATAAAGTTTAGTCTTTGTCTTTTTTGTTTGTTTTTTGTTTTTTGGTTTTTTTAGAGAGGGAGAGAGATAATCTTAGGTGGACTTCATGTCCAATGTGGAACCCAATGTGGGACTTGATCTCACAACCCTGAGGTCATGACCTGAGTCCAAATCAAGAGTCAGATGCTTAACTGACTAAGCCACCCAGGGACCCTGGTCTTTGTTTTTAAAGAAGTTTATATAGTTAACATTTTGCAATTAATTTCAGACATTTGGTTAAAAAGTAGAATGTAAATTATTTCTTTGGTACAGTTTATTGAATTTACAATTTTTTCTCCATTATTAAAATGAGCTACCCTGTCTGAATTACAAAAACTTTAAAGTCAGAGATTTTTCTTTTAAAAATTTTGCTGCAGATTTCCTGTAGCATATTTTATAGCATATAATTCACCTGAAGATTGATCTGCTAAAGTGGTTTATTAGTAGGAGTATTAAAAAAAAAAAATTGGACTTTAAATATAACATCCAGTTCTCCAATGTAGTTTTAGTATAAAACCTCTGTATATTTCAGATTATCTATTGTGTGATTTATGATTTAAAATGCATCACTGGTTTGTTATTTGTATACTACACTTACACTGTTTAAAAACATTTTATGGGATTATCTAAGAAAATGTTAATAGAAAATTCATTTTTAATAGCACATTTAACACCATTTACCTCTTAATTTTTGCTACATGATTTCTCAGTTTTGTTCCCAGTTAAGGATAATTCAACTTTTGGTATACAAGATGAATAGTGTTATATGTTTCAGCACTGAAAAGGGGCATGGATAGTATCTCCTGAGATGGAATGGTCTACATCTTCTGAGGAAGTACATCCCCAGTATGCCTGCTATATCATTATCATTACCTCAGCTTTCAAGATGAAGTGAAAGCACCTTCTTATCCTCCCTCCCCACAAGTAGGCAAACTGATTTCTTTTCTTTAGCTTTATCAGTAAACATCATTTATCTTTGGACAGCCATTCAACAAAGACAGTTATGGACTTCGTGAATAGCAGTGATAATGTCATCTTTGTACACAACACAATTCATCTCATCTCTCAAGTGATGGACAATATGGTCATGGCTTGTGGGGGTATACTGCCGTTGCTTTCAGCAGCTACATCGGCTACAGTAAGACTTAACTTCTATGTAAAATTGGTGTGAAAACATGATTGTTATGAATCTTTGTTGATTAGAAGTTGAATGTGGTGGTTACTATGTATATCATAGGTGTTATAGGGCAAAAGCAACTGGATCTTCTACAGTTACCTGAAAGGACCTTAGAATCTGTTCCAGGAATGAAAGGCCTAAAAAAGTATGTTGATTTCTTAGGGATGAGTCAGCTAGTGAATATGATTAATGGTGGTTCACCTATGCATTTCCATTGCCTTCTTTTTATTTATTTATTTTTATTTATTTTTTTAAGACTTTTTAAAATTTATTAGAGAGAGAATGAGAGCGAGAGAGAGGGCATGAGGGGGGGAGGGTCAGAGGGAGAAGCAGACTCCCCGCTGAGCAGGGAGCCCGATGGTGGGACTCGATTCTGGGAATCCAGGGTCATGACCTGAGCCAAAGGCAGACGCTTAACTGACTGAGCCACCCAGGCGCCCCTCCTTTGCCTTCTTTTTAGATGAAAAAGGAAATCATTCTGTTGAACTAGATATCTGAAAGCCTGGCTTTTTATAAAACAAATTTGGGAAATGTATCTAAGAAAACTAGATGTTGATCAGAATATAGATGTAAATGTCAAATTTTGTTCCTTACAGCATGAGCTGGAGAATATTGAACCTACTCAAGGCCTTTCAATAGAAGCCTCTGTGACATTTTTGCAGAGGCTAATCAGCCTTGTGGATGTGCTTATATTTGCAAGTTCTCTTGGCTTTACTGAAATTGAAGCTGAAAAAAGTATGTCTTCTGGTGGAATTTTGCGGCAGTGTCTCCGACTAGGTGAGATGTTAAAACCCATTAGTTAGGAATTTACTTGAACATTTTTCAGTAAAATTGACATATTAGATTGAAAATTATCTTTCACCTGTTAGTGGAAAAATGTGTGCTAGACAGTTTATCCTATTTTTTTTTTTTTTTTTTTTTAGCCTCCAAAGAGTGAAGATTATGTATGTATTATGCTATAGTAGTGGTTGCAAAGTTGGCTAGAGGAAGGACATGTTTTGAAAAATTCAAGTTGATTATGGTCACCACTACCATTCCTCTTCTGGTCTTTTTTTGCTCAAAAATAGTGCTGCTCAAATTTTAAGATGATTCACATACAAGAATCACTAGAGGATCTTGTTAAAATGCAGTTAGGTCATATAGGACTGAGGTGAGGTCTGTAATTGTCTAACAAACCGCAGGTGGTGTTGAAACTGCTCTCTTACAAACACACTTGAGTGGCAAGGTTCTAAACTATCATCATTCCAGTACAGCCTTTGTCAAAATAAACTGGTAATTTGTTGAAGCAGTTCCTGAAATTATTAAATCTCTGTTCTTCTCCTGGAGGCAGTTCTTGCTTAGGGAAAAGTTAAAATACACAAAAAGAATTTTTAGTGTCATCAGGGCTTCCTTTAGTGACACAGAAGAATTTTTCTCGATGCAGAAGATTTCTTGTTATCTAGTTGTAAATAGTGAAACTTTGCTAAGGATTTGCTTATTAAATGGAGAAAAGCAGCTAGGGAGAAGGGGACGAAGAAATGCAAACAAAACCGTTAGGAACCATGGCCACATGAAGATAGATCAGAAATAAGGCATCTGTGGAAATATAACATTAAAAGTGGAAAATCTAATTAGTTAATGAAAGATTTTCCCATTTTTAGCAGAAATATCTGTTACATGAACAGGTAAACTTTTTTTGGTGCAATGATTATTTTTAATGCTATTCAAAGTACTTTTAAACTTAGGATGCTCTAAATAACTTGATGTAACAATTTTTAGAAGTTTGTTTTAAAATTTTAATTAAGAGATTCAAATGGTGAGTATAAAAAACTAAAAACTATCATTTATTGACTACTGTCATTTGTTACTGCAGATTTTCAGTGAGTCAGCAATTATTTTCTTTTACTCATGAAGATATTTGAGATCAGAACTTACTCAAAATCCAAAAGCTATAATTGGTAAAGTTAGAATTTGAACATAGTTTAACTTGTATTCCTGTTCTTTGTTATAACATACTTCCTTAAATTTTCTGTTAGTAATATAATTTAAATATTTTGACTCTTATTAATTTTGTATGTGCCATTTTTTAAACTTTTTCACTTTTCTATAAAGAGTATATTTCTGGAATTAAAAGTACAAGGCTGCACTATTAGTATTTCACTGTACTTAAGCCTTAAATTCAGAAATTAGGGAAATACTCTATCTCCCTAATTTTCATGATTTAATCTACCCCAGCACCATGTCTTCTTATATATGCAAGTGAGATTCAGAAAATGACTTGTTCAAGATCTCTTTAATAGAGTATGGTTACCTTGGTGAACAATCCAAATATTTGATCCCTGGCCTCCTCTTGTTCTTTTCTGAGGTTGGAGATAAGAAGGCAGGATAGCAACAATAAGAGTAACTTGTACTACTGAGACTGATGAATATGGCATAGTTTTTAACTTTGTGATACCCAAACTTGATTTTATGCACCCTCGGACAAATGTAGTGCAAAAGTTGTTTTTCTGGGCCTGATTTTAAATTTGACGGAGTAGTATTCCATATTCTCTCTTCCTCCTTCCCTCACTGTAGTTCTTCCTTTTCCCTAACTTTTGTTGTTCTCTTGCAACTTTCTGAATACTTTTCTTCTCAATTCTATGTCTGCTAGCCATATGACAGTCTGGTGGTACTTAGAGTCCACATAGAAGTTTGGTATTTTGTCCCTAGTTTGTTCTCCTACTCTTGTTCAGTTCACATACTCTGAGTTCTACTGATTTGATTGGGAATTAAGATGATTTACATGATATCAAGCAATTCATAATCACTTTTGCATTACCCAATTCATCATTTAAACCTCAAAATTTCTAAATAACCTGAGTAATTGCCTGATTGGGGAGACATATAGAGAGGTACTTGTTTTTTTGAACAGGTGATGCATTTAATTTACTACTTATTTTAAGTTGTAAATGTTACAACCAAATTCTGGAATTTACATAACTCTTTCAGTGGTTATCAAACAATGCTATTAAAGACTGTAATAGTTCATAATTATATATAACATGAATGCTACAAGATTTATGCTCAGAGAAGATCACCGTTTTAAGAGTACAGTATTTGTGAAAGTGTTCAGTCAGTCAAAAACAACAAAAAAGGTTAATATCTGGTAGTAATTACTGAAACATCAAATCTTGAACAAAGATTTGGGGATCCTTTGGCTTACAAATATACTGGTTTCTATCAGAGAAAATTATTATTTTGAGTATGGTTGACACACAATGTTACGTTAGTTTCAGTTACACAACTTAGTGAGTTGAAAGGTTTGTACATGAGGCTGTGTCCAGTTATATTGCTGTTACAGTATCATTGACTGTATTCCTTATGTTCTGCTTTTTATTCCCTCGACTTACTCATGCTGTAACTGGAGGCCTATATCTCTCTCTCTCCCCTTCACCCATTTTGCCCACCTCCTACCACTCTCCCCTCTGGTACCCATCAGTTTATTTCCTGTGTTTATAGGCCTGACTGTACTTGTTGTTTATTCTTTTTTCTAGATTCCACTTATGAGTGGAACTATATGGTATTTGTCTTTCTCATTCTGACTTATTTCATTTAGCATAATACTAGAGGGGTATTATCATAGCCTCTTTACTGTCCCCCATCTTTTAAATTGTTTTAATGAAAGCCAGTTAAAATGTAGATACTGTAAATATTTGCTATAAATGCTATACCCTCTATCAGTCTCTATTAATATCATGCTATAATGATACATAATAAGGAAAATATGCGAGTTTTAAGTTTAACTATTTTACTTTGGTGAAGGTGATGGAAGGTTATCTTAGACTAGTTCATGGCAATGTGATTTGCTTTCTGTTCCACCTTTCTTTCAGTTCTTTTCTTCCCTAACTTTTCCTTAATAAAAGATCGTTCTAGTTTAGCTTAGGTGTTATCTAAGGAACACTGGCCTGTTGATTAAGATTCCTGAAATGATTCTTTCTTAGCACTGGGCCCTAACAGAGTAGCTAACAAATTTAGAAAACAAACATTAGGTGATAAAGTCCAGGGGCATTTTAGGAATTTGCTGAAGGTAATCTGTTTCAAATAAAAGCTTATGTAAATTGTATTATGTAGGTGATTTTTATCAGTTCCAAAATCTTAAATAAAATTTTCTTTTCTTGCCCAATCTTCTTCTTAAAATAAATTACAGTGTGTGCAGTGGCAGTAAGGAATTGTTTAGAGTGTCAACAGCATTCACAACTGAAAGCTAGAGGAGATGCAGCCAAAGGCCAGAAAACAATGCACAGCCTGATTCCCATGGGGAAATCTGCAGCAAAGGTAAGCATACAGGATAATTAATTAAATAAAGTACTTCTTACTTTATGATTAAGATCTTAAATTTATTTGTTCATTTCAACATAAAGTTAAATCTGACAGAAGTTCTAAAATAGTTATTTTAGTCTGTGGATATAACATTCAAATATTTGTGTTTAAATATACAGTAAAGATTTGCTTATACTTAATCTTGTCTGCTTTTCCAAATGTTTACTTTTCTTGTGTCTTTGGTATTTGAATATGTCAATTTGTATTTCATGTACTTGGTAAGTTACATGCAGTTTGTGTTTTCCTTTATGGCTCCCTTCTGTAACCCCCACCTCTATTCCAGTATCCCAAAAAAGAAGAGAGAAGGAAGTTGGAAAAAAAACTGGGAAACCAATGTTATAACTTTTTCTCCCCTGGTATTTGGAATACTGTGCTAATTTTTTTAAAAGTCTACATAATTGTGTGTGTGTGTGTGTGTGTGTGTGTGTATATATATATATATATATATATTTTTTTTTTTGTCTTAAATAGAGTCCAGTGGACATTGTAACTGGTGGTATATCTCCAGTAAGAGATTTTGACAAGCTCCTACAAGACATGGATATTAATCGGCTTAGGGCAGTTGTCTTCAGAGACATAGTAAGTTACAGTATTTCTTTCACATACTCTTAGCTGATACTTCTTTCCTCCAAGGTCAAAGTATTGAGAGTGAGAACTCTTTGTGATATAAAATAGTTGACTTGATATAAGAAGGGCTAGAAACCAGTTCTTTTGACAGTGATTTTAGAATCTTAGAATATTGGAAAGTGAGTTAATATATCAGAGTAATAATACTAAAAATAGTATATTATCACATATTAAGCACTATAAGTGCTTCACATGTCCTAAGTCCCAATATAAGTCCCCTTCACATGTCCCAACGACTTCTTGAGTTGTATACTTTTGTAATTCCCATTTTATAAATGAGGAATCTGAGGCACAGAGAGCTTGAATAATTTGTTCCAGCTAACAGAGCTAGTAAATGATAGGATTCCAACCCAGCAGTCTTAAACTCCAGAATCTACTCTGAAAGTAATATGATATTCAGATTCTGAATGGCATATTATTTTTACTGAATATTGGATATTTTTCCCCTCAAAGGAACAGAATTACGATACAAAGGTACATGAGGAAATGGTGTGTGTGGTGGTTTTAATTTTTAAAAAAATGTTTGTTTTAGTTGATTTTGATATATGGCCCAGTTTTACGTACAAACTGTAAAATTGTATAAGAAAGTCTAAAGAAAATAAAAATTATTTGTAATCCTACTCATCAGCATTTGTAATATTATCATTAGTTAATATTTATTGAATACACTGCCTCTTCAGTACTGAATGTTCTGCAAGTTTTTTATAAACTTTATAATTTTAATTTTTAATTTTCGCTCCTCTTTTTGTAGGGTTTTAGTCCTTTCTTGAGTTCTTGACTAAGTTTTATACACATATACAATTTGTTAATAGTAGTTAATAGTTATTAGCTATGGTTAATAGTTATTGAATGCTTACTGTGTTTTAAGCATACAACTGGATGTTCTGTTTCATTTAATTCATGCAATAATCCTATGAGAAAGATAGAAGTATTAGGTTAAATAATCTGTTTAAGTTCACACAAGTATTAAGAGGTGGAAGTGGGTTAAGGATCTAGGGAATCTGGTTCTTGAAATTTTGATCTTAAGCATTAGGTATACTGCCTCCCTAGATCTCCATTTTTTTGCTTTTTGGTAGTTGTATCATTCCTTTAATTAAGAAACCATTAATTTTGTTTTTTTTTTTTTCAGAACCCACTGATTGTGGTTCATTTTAGGACCAAATACTACTGCTGCTTTCTCTCCCCCCTTTTTTTTCTTTGAGTCCCTTGCCCCATAGCTTTGTTTTTCTTCCAGTGATCTTTAAAAATCTATAATAGGTAATATAACTCTTGCTTGAAATATTCTCTAATGGCTTCCCATAGCACTTAAAATGAAATAAAAACTCCTCATCCTGGCTCTATATGATTTGGCTCTTTGGAACTTTATAACAAGTTTTTATATTATGCTATTTGGATAAAGAATTAGATATCTTCTATGTTTAACATGTAATTTCTGAAAGTAATAAATTTTTTTTGTAATTAAAAAAGTTTTATTATCACCTTGTAGGAGTTTTAGAAAAAAGACAGTGTTTTCCAGACTATGTCCCAGAAGCTCTTTTAGCATTAGCAAACTTTAATGAAAAAGGAAATGACCTTAGATTGGCAATATAAAGAAATTATTACTCTGAGGTTAAGTGCTGAACTTTTTAATCACTCTAATCTGAGTTCATGTTTGCTTTTTCACTTACTTTATGTCTTTAGGTAAATTATTTCTCTAGTCCTTATCTTATTCAAATGGGTTAAAGAATGTGTTTGAAGTATAGTATAGTGCCTGATCATTGTAAGCATTCAGTAAGTGACAGCTTACTGTCAATTGAAAACAAATTTATTTTGGGATTTAGGACTTAAACATATGGATCTATTGGATATTTCTTCTTGGACAGAAAGCTTCCACTATAAATTTCATACTGTAATAAGTAAATATTGAACATATAAATGGGCTAAATAAGTATTTAGATAGGCACAAATGATTTGTAATAGATTAAGAAGTTATGATCAATGGGTGCCTAGGTGGCTCAGTCAGTTAAGCATCCAACTCTTGATTTCTGCTCAGGTCATGATCTCAGGGTCATGACATGGAGCCCTGCCATCATGCTCCACGCTCACTGCAGAGTCTGCTTGTCCCTCTCCCTCTGCTCCTATCCCTGCTCATGCTCTTTCTCTCTTTCTCAAATAAATAAATAAGTAAAATCTTAAAAAAAAAAGTTAATATCAAGTAAATTATTTGCCTATGTTTTAAATGTTGCCATCATCAGGAACAGTTCTTATAATAGTGTCAGGATCCTGTGGCAGGAGAACACAGGAGTGTCTAGAGAAAAGGAATGGTTAATAAAAAAGGGAAAATGTATATTTATCTTTTCTATCAAGACTAATAAGATCTTGCATATGAACATAAAGAGTATCATAGATTCTTGTCAGATTATAAATATTTCTCATAGTTGTATCAAGTGGAAATGTTCAGGTAGAGCATGATATCTCATACTTTCTCAGAAATTGATTGTGTCAAACACATTGATACTGGTTAACTTTTAGCTTCATTTGCACCATTGGTTGCCATTTATTTATCTGCTAGGCAACAGTGTTCTTTGCTTTCGTTACCCTAAATTTATGTTATTCAGGGTATCTTTAGTTTTCAGAATTTGATGAACAAGTTTGAGTTTTTCCTTTAAATTATTTTGAAAAGTTATCAGAATAGTGATGTGTTCAGGGTCCCTTTGAAGATGGAGAATTTGATTAGATGAAGAGGTCATCAGTATACAGATATGTAGGTGATCTGTAGAGCTAAGATGAAGCCCTGGTCTCTTGTAGAGGTCAATCTAGTTTGTCCTTTTCTTTCTGGCAGACACTGTATTTTCAATCTTAGACACTTGGTTGTCTGTACTATTTAAAATACCCCTGGGGCGCCTGGGTGGCTCAGTTGGTTAAGCGACTGCCTTCGGCTCAGGTCATGATCCTGGAGTCCCAGGATCGAGTCCCGCATCGGGCTCCCTGCTCAGCAGGGAGTCTGCTTCTCCCTCTGACCCTCTTCCCTCTCGTGCTCTCTCTATCTCATTCTCTCTCTCAAATAAATAAATAAAATCTTTAAAAAAAAAAAATAAAAATAAAATACTCCTTAGAATTCCTTTGGCATCCTGTTCTGTATCTGATTACCTCACTTTTTTTTCCTTGAATATTTGTCTTTTAGGAAAATTGTTAATCGTGATTTTTTATGCATATTTTAATTCTTATGATTAGAAGTAAAAAAACTACTCATATATAATGATAATTTCTTATTTGATTAATCTTATGAAGTATATTGGGCCATATGTCTTCAGACTGAGTTACTTAATTTTCAAAAACAAGCCCAATTCTCCTTCCATGTTTCACAAGAGTAAAACCTCTCATTTACAGGCATTTTTTCCAAAAATCTTTGTCTAATCTTTGCTAAGGTGAATTTATTATTTTCTGCGTGTAATGAAAGATTTGTGGCCATGTTTTATATTTAAATGTCATGTAAAATAAGATTGATACATCTTATTTAATAGTGCCATGATCAACTATTTTTTTTTTTCCCCAGGAGGATAGCAAACAAGCTCAGTTTTTAGCCTTGGCAGTTGTATACTTTATCTCTGTTCTTATGGTCTCAAAGTATAGAGACATTTTGGAACCCCAAAATGAAAGCCGTATCCAGTCATTTAAGGAAACTGGTAGTGAACGTGGAAATTTATCACTTCCTGGTAAGTTTCCATATCTTATTATCTGGCATTCAAAGTTCAAGTAGAACATTACCTAATAGTTAAAATACTGATTCTGGAATTTAAATCCATTTATACATAAAGTGTGAGTGTACATTTTTAAATTAACAACTAAATATTTCAGTTTAATTTAAGTACCATGTAGGTAGTTGCAATTGGGAGACGATATCTCTTCTTTAGTTAAAACATAAGTGAGAAAATGTTATCCTTTGCAATTAAGTGTTAAACATTTTTGTTTGCTTTGGCATTTATTGTGAAGAATAAATTATTTTCTTTTATAAGAGACAGATTTGTTAACAAAAAACTGTAATAACTGGAGTGTTCTAGAAGTAGCTGCAGGTCGTAGAGGTATAGTAAGAGAAGCAGCTATTATAGTTGTAATAGTAGCTACCACTCAGTGGAAGTGGTTTATTTATTTAACAAACATTCATTTAGTACCTACTAGGTACTTGGGTATATTCATGAACAAAAGAGGAAAAAACTGTCTGCTCTTTTGGAGCTTGTATTCTAGTGAGAGGAGATAGAAAAGAAGTGCAGGTAATAAGTAAATTGTATAGTATTTTAGAAGGTTGTAAGTACTAAGAAAAGATAAAATTGAATAGAGAAGAATATTAGGAATGACCAGGAGAAATGTAGTGTGGATTTTTACTCTAAGGAAAATAGAGAATTATTTGAGGGTTTTGAGACAGGAGTTACAATTGACTTGTTTTTAAAAAAATAACATTTGGGATTCTGTATGGAGAATACACTCTAGCGAGCAAGGAAAAAACCAGGGTTTTTGTTATGTACTGCTGTGTAACATATTACCTCGAAGTCCAGTGGCTAAAACCATAACTGTTTTCATCTTGTTATCATGATTCCGTGAATTTGGTTTGGACAGGGCACAATGGGGATAATTCATCCCTGCTCTAAATGATGTTTGCTGGGTCTGAAATGGCTTTTCTACTCATATCTACTGCCTAGCTAGGATGGCTCCAAGAGTTGAGGCTGACTGACTTGAAGTGGCTCAGCTGGTGTTATATGTCTGAGGCCTTGACACTTGGTCTTAGCTGAAATTCCTTGGTGTTCCACCATTAGTTTGGAGGCCCTCTATCTTTTCATGTAGTCACTGTACATGTTCTCTCCAGTAAGGTAGCCAGCTTGTTTACAGAGGTGTTCAGAGATTCTGAAAAATGCACAAGCTGCCAGACCTTTGTAAAGATTGGGCACAGAACTGGCCCACTGCCACATTCTGTTGGTTAAAGTAAGTGAGGCCTAGCCCACATTTAAGGGGGTGAATACGAGGAGGCATGGGCCAAGGATTATTAATGTAACAGTCTAACACAACCAGTTGGGAGGATGTTGCAATAATCCAGGAAAGAATGGATTTTGGGATGGACTAAGGTGGTAACTGGTAGCTATAGGGCTGGTAAGCAGTAGTAAGATTCTGGATATATTTTGGTGGTAGGGAGAACAGGATTTAAAATAGTAGTTGTGGATATGTGAAAGATGGAACGTTGTTAAGAATGACTATAAAGTGCAGTTGGTTAGACTGAAAGTGAAGCATTTTCAGGGAAAGATAAATTCAGTTTTCAACATGTTGAGTTTGAGGTATCTTTTAGACATAGAAGATGTAGAGTAGGCACTTAAAAATAAGTCTGATTTTGTTGTTGTTGATAGAGCAGTGTTTTAAAAGTTTGAGAGTGAATGAGATCACTGAGGGAATAAATGTTGAAAGGGAAGGTAAATGCTAAGTCCCTCCAACTTAAGAAATCAAGGAGAAAAAGAAGTGAAGGAAATTAAGAAGGAACAACCAGTGAGGTAATAGATGAAAAACTGGAAGAGTATGATGTCCTATTAGCCAGGTGAAAAAGTATCACCAAGTTGGAGAGAATGATCCTTTGCTGTTGCTGTATCAAGTACTGTTAGGACTGAAAACTGACCATTGGAGTTAGCAAGATGGAGGGTTTTGGTGACCATTGGATCTAGCAAGATGGAGCATTTTTGTTGGAATGCAGTGAATGCCTGGATTAGAGGGAATGAAAGTCAAACAAAGTAGGTGATGCTCTGTGTTGAATTAGATGTTAAAGATTATTGAATTATTCTTGCATATGGGAGTGATATGTTTTTTTAGCAGGTAGAAACTGTTTGAGGTAGAAATCTTAGAATTACTGCCCAAAGAAATGGCAATGTATAAAGGCACAGAAGCCCAAAACATTGTCCCGTGTTCAGCAGATTGCAAGTAATTTGGTGTTGTAAAGTATAAGAGTAGCAGGAGATAAAGTTGGAAATGAATAGTCATCTGATAAATAGTTGCTGACCACCTACTACTTGCCAGGCATTATTGTGAGCCCAGGCATTGTTATAGGTGCTGGACGTGAAGTGTTAAAGAAGACAAATTCCTTGCCTTGATTAAGTTTACATTCTAGCAGACTTCTGTTATTGAAGAGTCTTTATTTTATCCTAAGGATTTTGGATTTTTTCTTGTAGGCCAATTGCTTTCAACCTTGTGTTGCTTTCCATTGGTATGTTATATTCAGTTTGGTGGGTTTTTCTCAGATCATTTGTTATCATTTATTATTTTTATTCTCATCATTTTATTAAAGCATCTATTTTGATTATAGGTATACTAACGCAGTATACTATATAGATTATTTAATTTATTTTTGCCTTTTAGAACATGCCATATATTTCATAATTTAAAATAGTAGATGGTAGGATGTGTTCAATAGGTGATGGGGATTAAGGAGTACACTTGTTATGATGAGCACTGGGTTATGTGGGTGATGTATGGAAGTGTTGAATCACTACATTGTACACCTGAAACTAATATAACACTGTGTTAACTAGCTGAAATTAAAATAAAAACTTAAAAAAGTAAATAAAATAATAGATGGCTGTTAGGGCTGAATGTACCCTTTAAAAATTGGTTCTAAGTGTTTTTTGTTCTTTTCTTCTGTTTCTGGGTAAGATGTAGAAAATACACCATCAGCATTTAGTCCGTTAACACCAGCGTCAGTGGAAGAATCTGAAAGCACATCATCTACTCGAAGGAGGGACTCAGGCATTGGCGAAGAAACAGCTGCTGGCTTAGGAAACAGTGTGGATGTAGCTCCTCCTATAGTACCTCCAAGTGTCAGTGCAGGCCCAGATGCAATCAGTGAGGCACTGTGCACTCTTTCTTTAGAAGTCAATAAATCTCAGGAAACCAAAAATGATGGAGGAAGTGAGTTGGATAACAAGGCTGCACCGTCAGTTCCAGTTTCAAAAAATGTCAATGTAAAGGACATTCTTCGAAGCTTGGTTAATATACCAGGAGATGGAGTCACAGTGGATCCTACCCTTCTGCCACCAGCCTGCCTTGGAGCTCTTGGTGATCTATCTGTTGAACAATCTGTGCAGTTCAGATCTTTTGATAGGTACTGTAAATAGTCTTGTTTTGGTCTGCTTATATTTATAAATTACAGGTATTTAAAGGGTAAACAGGAATTTAACTCTTAAATTTTGTGGCTTCAACATTAGAAACGGATGTTTTGATCTAGTCTATAAAAATTAAAAGGATATTTTTGTTGTATAAGAGGTTTGAAGGTAGGCAACAAGGTATTAAAATTTTTATTTTTCATCCTACCAATAAGATGATTTAAAAATAATTTTAGTATTTAATTTTAATATTACATTTGCAAGTTGTATGGTACATAATTTTGTTTGTTACAAGTTAGAAATCACCTCTACTTACAAATGGCTACTCTTTTGCTGCCAGTATGGTGCCAGCCTTTGTGGAAAAAAAAGGTGGGCATCTGTGGATTCCAGTAGACTCAGGAATTCAAGGTGTTCAGAGCTTGACAGCTTGAGAAAGCGACTATAGATTCTTGACTTTATTCTGCTGCCTAATAAACCTTTTGCTAATGTGCCTGAAAAATTTTTTTATATGTTACTAAACTTTCTGAAATTCTACCCATAAGACATGTATGTAGTGAGTTGTTAAACATACTCTTTTTCAAACATCATTATTTTTATCTGGATATAAGCTCTAACTTACAGAGAAGTTGAAGAACTTTATATGCCAGTTAAAAGAACTTTTGTTTTTCTGGAGTCATATGAAAGGAAGTTGACACGATAGTCCATCCCCTTTGAATATTTCATTGTATATTTTCTACATAACCACAATACATTAGTCAAAATAAGGAAATTAATACTGATATAAGACTACCTTCTAATCTTCAAACACCCTTTAAGTTTCACTAATTGTCTTAATAATACCCTTTATAGTAGAAGGATCCATTTCAGAATTATGTGTTGTGTTTTGTTGTGTCTCTATTTTCCTTTAATCTGGAAGAACAGTTCTTTAGTCTTTCCTTGAATTTAATGATCTTGACATTAGGAGATGATAGCCCAGCTGTTTTGTAGAATCTCCCTGAGATTTGTCTAATGTTTCTTTAGGATTATATTGAAGTTAATGCATTTTTGTCAGGAAAATTGCAGAAGTGGCTCTTTTTCTTCTCATTGCATTCCAACAGGTGGCACACATGGTTTTATTTTATTACTGCTGATATTCTTTCTAATCATTTATTAAAGTGATATTTTCTAGGTTTCTCCACTGTTAAAGTACTTCTTGTAAAGAGTGAAACTCTGTCATCCTGATCAAATGAATTCAGTTCATTTTATGGCTTTATCGTTTCCTATTTTATTCAGGAGGTTATAATCTATTGTTGTGATTGTTATGCTTTATGTTGATGCTCAGATTGTCTCTGATTTGGCCAGTGAGATTCCTTCAAGTTGGCTTCTGTTTTCTTCTGACATATCCTCATCATCCATTTCCTTCTGTCATTTATTTCTTTGTGTCTCCTCTTCTCTCTTTTTTTTTTTAAGATTTTATTTATTTATTTGAGAGAGAGAATGAGATAGAGAGAGCATGAGAGGGGGGAGGATCCGAGGGAGCAGCAGACTCACTGCTGAGCAGGGAGCCCGATGTGGGACTCGATCCCGGGACTCCAGGATCATGACCTGAGCCGAAGGCAGTCGCTTAACCAACTGGGCCACCCAGGCGCCCTCCTCTTCTCTTTATTTCCTCTCATCTCCTAGTTTTCTACTTTAGACTTGCTGTGGGTTGGAACACTAGATATCCGCTGGTAAAAATTGTTTATAGTAATTAAGATGCTCTGAAAGAACACAGGGACATATATAATTTAGTGGAGAGTATTTTTACCATCATCCTTTGTCATCTTGTTCCTTCTACCTCTGTTTAAAGATGAGGTCAATGTGCTGGTGTGATGAGATTGACAAATTCTAAATTCTGGGTAATTAGCATATTGGTATATTTATATTGTGACATTACAGGTCAAGTGGCTGCTAAGTTCCGCTGTCTTTTTCTTTTTTTAATAGACTTTATAACATAGGAGTTAAAGTATTGATTCTAGAAATCAGACAAAACTGAGTTTGAGTTCTGGCTCTATCACTTATTAGTAAATTTGGACTAGTTACCCCACTGAGCTTCAGCTTCCTTATCCTTAAATAGTGTGATACTACACAGCTAAAGGCAAAAGACCAAAAAAAGCAGATGGGAATGTATGTACTGATGGGAAATTATATTGACGAGATATTAATCTATAACGCTTAGCATGAAGAAATCACTCAGTAAATGTGAACCTAGCTATCCCACCTAATAAGACATTTAGGCATTGCTGCTTTCTGTTGTGTATGTATAGACACTAAATATTTGGAATACATATTACAGATAAAAGGATTATATTCCGTGTGTGTGTGTGTTTGTGTGTATAAAATGTTAAATAAATAAAATGACTAATCTAGAAAAATTAAATAATGGGAACAGGTAGTTCATATACAAGAAGATAAATACTCAATATGCAAATGTACAGACAGTCTGTATCACTAATAATGAAGGAAATAAAAATTTAAATAACCATGAGATAATTTGATTAAATTAGCAGAGGTTTAAAAGATGATACCTAGTGTTACTGAGGGCATGAAAAAACACTTTTATATTGTCGAGAGGGCATATTAATACAATTTATTTGAGGGAAAATTGGCAGTATTAAAATTTAAAATATGTAAACTTAATTTCTACTAGAAATTAAATCAGAAGATACACGCAAGTATAAAATATTTTCTGCTGGAGAAATTTCATAGTTAAGCTTTTACTCTGTGAAGGACTAGTCTAAAAGCATTTTTTAGGTAGGTTCAAAGGTAGATACTATTTTTTATTCTTACTTTACAGATGAAGAAACTGAGGCACAGGGAAATTAAGTAGGTAATTAAGCTCTTAATCTAGTAAATGGTGGAAGTAAGATTTGAAGCATGGATGACTGATTCTAGACCTTGTCATTTGGCTGTGTTATGCAAACATAGTTGCCAATCTATGAAGGATTGGTTCCATATGTTCTATACATATAGTAAATAGTATGCAGCCATTAAAGTGAGAAAAGCAGAACACTATTTGTTGATATAAAATGATATTGTAGATACATTATTAAATGAAAAAGTAGTGTACAAAATGGTTTGGAATTTATGATCTTTTTAAAAAATAGATATATCTGTTCACATATGCCTCAAGGTGTATATAAAACTGTTCATAGCTTTGGCTGTATTTTGAGGGTGGGAAGAGGTTGTAAATAACTAGTTTTTAAGATATTCTGAATTTTTTTCTACTTTTTTATTTTATTTTAATCTAAAATATTCTTAATTTTCATTATTTAAATTTTGTATTAATCTTAGTTTGAGTAGTCAAATACTTAAGTGAGGGTAGATTTTTAAATTTAATATATCTTCCTAATCTAGTCAAAGAGAGTTTCCTTATAAATGTCCCAATTTGAAAATATTGGGACATTTTTTCTTTTAAAAATGTGTAGAAATTAAATCTGTGCCTTAGTGATGCCTTCAGTGAATGAGTTATGAACTTATTTAGGGAAACCATGCCTCAGTAATACATATTAAGGGGTTTATTGAAATAGAATACAAAGGGGAATTTTTGTGATAGTATTTTTCAGGGTGTTACTTGGAACTTATATGTCTGGTATGCACTTAACATATTGTCTGATGGCAAGCAAAGTGCTTTGTTTTTTCCCCCCTTCTTTTTCTTAGCAAGAGACACCTTTTGAAAAACTATTTTCATGCAGGCTTAGGCCAGTGGAATATCTTTGGGAATTTCAAAGTATCCCTCTGATCACGTATTTATCTCTGGAATGCTGTGTCAGAAATCACAAGTCTCCTCATATCTTAAGAATTATCAACTCCCAAGCAATAGCTGGAAAGTTTAGAGTAACAGCTACATGAGTGGAACCTTGCTGAAAGGCTGCCAGGTTGTGGGCCTCTGTGGATGGCAAGGTGTTTGTGTTCATTCCCATGCCAAAGTTCTTGCTCTTATCTAATTTGAAGATCCTCTCTGGTGATTAGTGGATGCCAGGGATTTATCTTGATAAAGTTCAAGGGCTTGTCTGGCTTTTCAATTAGATCCTTAGGGAGTAAAGTGCTAGGGTTAAAATGCTCTTTTCTCCTTTAGTGAACTATTTGCATGTTAAATAAAATAGCATTTATGTGAAAGTTTATGATATTTGAAACTGATACGGTTCTGAAATGGAACTTCTGAGCCTTAGTGATCTGGAAGACATTTGCTCTTTTTTGTGACAAAAAGAAACTTTCACAGAAGTCTCCCTTGTTCATATTTTTAAAAAAGTCAGCAGTGTTTACACTTTCTGTATGTGGAATGTTAGGAAAATTACTTCTTTGTCATCTGTAAAATGGGGATGATAATATGTAGTTCTTAATTTAATTCATGGATTGTTATAAATAATTCATATATATTCTAAGTGTAGTACCTTACAGATACTAATTATTTATTAAAGTCAGTGAGTTTGTAAAGAAAGTTATAATATGTGGGGCGCCTGGGTGGCTCAGTTGGGTAAGCATCCAACTCTTGATTTTGGCTCAGGTCATGATCTCAGGGTCTTGGGATTGAGCCCTGGGTAGGGCTCTGTGCTCAGTGGGGAGTCTGCTTCTCTTCCTCTCCCTCTGCCCTCCCCCTCATGAGTTCTCTCTCTCTCTCCCCCCACAAAAGTAAATAAATGTTTAAATCTTTAAAAAAATTATGTAAAATTTTATACTTTAATATTTGGTTTTTAATTGACAGTTTGGAAAGTTAGCTTTAAAACTAAAAGTCGTATCTGTCTTACAAATTCTTTATGCCAGAAAGTTTGAAGTGCTTTTTATTAAAGTTGATGGCAGATACTAAAAATTTCAAGTTATTTACTTCTTAAATATTAACAAGGATTTCATTTAGTCTCTTAAATAGAAACTTAAGCTGTACCCTGAGAACAAAGCCAGAAATATCCCTAGCACATTGCTTGGCATATAGGATTTCAAACTTGTGCCAAATGTATGTTGCATTTTCTTTGTGTTTTCCGAAGCATTTTAGAAAAATGTGACATGTTAGTCCTTTCATGATCATTCTTGAATAATGGTAAAGATAAATTTCTGCAGTTTTTTTTTTAACTGTAGCACATGCTTTATTAGCTTAAATTTATACTTACATACATGATAAATAACATACATGATAAATATGATAGCTTAAAGATCACCTTTATTGAAAACTTTAGTCTTTTACATGGAAACCTTATGATAATGGAAACAATAAAGGAAAGGAAAATATCCTGAAATCTGCCTGCTGCTTTTTCTTTAAATTGGATCATGATGACTTTGAATTTTGTTTTTATGTGGCCCAGAGCTGAAGCATTATTATTTTGCTTCCTCAGAAATGACTTGAATCAGCCAAAGAATTTGGAAATGGATTAATTTCATTTCTCATTACATATTAATAATTATTCTAATTATTAAATACTTATAACTATTTTTAATAATTACTAATAAGTAGGCTAAAGAATTGAGAACTTTCTCCATTTGTAAGCATATGTATTTTTTATTTTAGTAAGCATATGTATTTTTTATTTTAGTAATATATACATAATTTTATATCTCAGAAATCTTTATTATTATTGCTTATAGGTGATTATACTATAGAATTCTGTTTAAATGTTAAAATGATTGTGGTAATGGTTGCACAACTCTGTGAACATACTAAAAACCATTTAATTGTACACTTAAATTTTGTGATATATGAATTATATCTCAATGAAACTTAAGAAAAAGCTCAATATGAGAAAATAGTTCATTTGGAGGCTCTTATTTAGACAAACCTGGAATTGTATGGTGTTTACTTTGGCAAGTTACTTTACCTGTCTGAGCTTTACTATTTTAACTTCTAAAGTGGAAGTATTATGGGGGCTCCTGGGTGGCTCAGTCGTTAAGCGTCTGACTTCGGCTCAGGTCATGATCCCAGGGTCCTGGGATCGAGCCCCGCATTGGGCTCCCTGCTCAGCGGGAAGCCTACTTCTCCCTCTCCCACTCCTCCTGCTTGTGTTCCCTCTCTTGCTGTGTCTCTCTCTCTCAAATAAATAAAATCTTAAAAAATAAATAAATGGAAGTAATATGTATGTTAGGATTGTTTGGAGAATTAAGTAATAATTCTTGGCATATCGTCAGTTTAAATCACAGCTCTTAAGTTATAAATTTATATAAAGAAAGGATCATGTGGAAACACAAAGAATAGTGCATTATGAACTTGGACTTGAAGATTCTGGGGAGGTTTACCTGTAAGCAAGGTTTTGAAAGGTGAGAAGGAAGAGGTTACTGGCAATCAGGGCTAAGAGGAAGGCATCTTAGCTGAGGAATAACATACACAAAGGGTCAGAGTTGTGAAATGACATACATGCTCAGGAACCATAGGAGCATATTGCAGAAGTGTGTGAGGAATGCTGGATTAAATGTAAATTCATGTAGGTAGCCACACTTTAGATGTATTAGGAATGAGAATATGAGAAAGATCTTAGAAAATAAATATTTGCTCAACTGTGATAAAGAGTAAGTATACATGATTGATAGCATTGTTAATGGTAGTAGCTTTAAGGGTTAGAAATGAGATCAAGTGTTTGTTACCTTTAAATAACCATATTGTCTTGGACCAGTAGAGGTTGTACATGTTAAGGAACATCTGTAGTAAATTTTTTCTGTACCAGTTTTCCAATGTTTCATTATGAAAATGTTCAAACAGAGAAATTGAAAGAATTGTACAGTGAACACCCACAGACCCCATCACTGAGATACTGCAGTTAACCTTTAATTCTATTTGCTTCATCATAAATTCTTCATATATCCGCCCCTCTATCCATCAGTCTTATTTTTTATGTGTTTCAACAGACATCAGTTCACTTCATAAGCATTTCAGCATGCAGATCTTTAGAGGTCAGTACGGTTTTTTTAAGGTAAAAGGTACATGCATTGAAAGGCACAGATCTTAAATGTACCATTTGATGAATTTTGACAGCTTTGTACACCCATGTAACCCAAATCCTCAATCAAGACATCATCAGTCTTCAAAGTTCCCTCATGTGCCTTCCCAGCTAGAGGCAGTTCTTCTGATTCTTTTCTACTGTAGGTTAGTTTTGCCTTTTCTAGAACTTCATGTAAAAGGAAATAACAAAGTTTGTGTTCTTTTGTATAAAACTTTCTTCACTCAACATAATGCTTTTGAAATTCACTTATGTTATGTTTATCAGTAGTTTCTGTTAATTGCTGAGTATTGTTTTGTTGTATGAGCATATCACTTACTCATTTTTCTTTTGAAAGGTTTCTGAGCTGTTTCCAGTTTTTGGCTCTTAGATAAGTCCTCTTGAACATTATTGTACACATTTTTTGTGGGCATAAGTTATCTTGAGGAAATTCCTAAGGGTGGGCTTGTACATAGGTTAGTTTTATGTCTTAAATTTCAGTTATGGAAAAAACAATTTCAGTTTTCTAAATACTATTTTCTGTTGCTCATTTCAGTGCTTAACTATTATATGAGTGAACTAGATCTTACTAGTTCTTCTTTTGTGAACAAATGTGAAAGTAAATTCTACATAGCACTCCTCCCTCCAAAATAGGTTGCTAGGGAATGTACTTAGATATTTTCTTAAACAATAGGTTTATGAATTTCTGCCTTGAGTAGGAAATGCATAAATTATATTTTGTATTATTTTGAACGTACTGCTAGCGCGCACACACATGGTCATATCTACTCCCCCTAAAGTCAATAATTTCATCTGATATAAGCTACCATGATTTAAGCACACCATTTTGGATTGAGGGCTCAGGTGGCTGTTGCTTCTATTTTTTAGTGTATAGTTAACATTGGCAGTCACCCTTATAATGATGTGACACCAGCTACCCCCAAGTACATTGAATAAGCCATGCCTAACACAAGAGAACTTGATTTAATTGGCAACAGTGTTTGCTGTCACATGATAGGCACTGAAGTAAAACAGAACCTATTTTGCTTTGTATTGTCTTTCTTTGGTATAACAACAAAAACAAAATATATTTTTAAGATACTGGAATTACATAATTTCCACTTTTGAATACATTTATTGGGATCAAGTATCTAAGTAACTTTATTTAGAAACTGAATACTTTAAAGCTGTTAAGGGAATACTTGAAGCTTGCAGTTACAATATTGTCAACAAAAGATGTGATTAAATAAATTGAATGTTGAAGACTTTAGGCTTATGGTTAACACCAGGTAATTAAAAGTAAGCACTGCTGTGGGAGTGCATTATATATCAGCTGTCCGCTTTACCTCATTAGCTGAGTTTTTGCATGTTTATGGAGCTAACTTCAATTAAAAATGCCTTTTAGTTATGCCTAATAAGGTCTTTTGGTTACTATTTTGGTAGAAAGTATTCACTTTAATTGAAATTGGTATATCATAAATACCTGTGTTTGAATAATAGACAAAATGAACAAATTTGATTATTTGGAATTTTTGGCATCTAGCTTTTATACCTATGCATTGTTTTTTTGATATAATATTATCAAAAGATAGTCATTGGGGCTTAAAAAAAAACTTGGACTATATACATGTTAAAAATTGTTTTTTATTTTTTATTTTTTTTACTGTATAAGATTTTTGAGGTTTTATGATTTCAAATTAGTGGTGCTTTAAAATCCATGTAGAAACATGTTGAGTTTTCTGCTTCAGTTCTGAGGTTAAGAAAAAGTTAATTACTTTTCCACTTGAGTGCCAAAATCCCTTTTTTATATACCTTTGGTTATATTTTATTTAAGTTGGATAATTAAAGATGATCATAAATTTAAAGAATATTATATAGTAATTGTAAGTTCAAATGTTATAATGGATTATTATATTTCCATAGGACATTGTCTTCATCCTAAAACACTGAAATTCAGATAAATATGAATGCATTGGAGAGATTTCTTGTTGAGAGAATATTCAAAATTGTACATCAAAATAGAAATAAGCAAATTATAAAAAGAAATTAGTTTCCTACTTTCTATTTTGAAATTAATGTAATTAGGTTGAGTGACCTTTTCTATTTTAAAATCTGTTTACTTTCTTTATTACAGAAGTGTCGTCATTGCAACAAAAAAATCAGCAGTCTTACCTTCCACACTTAGTACAAGTCTACCTACCAATGCTGTCAGTGTGGTTTCTTCAGTAGATTCAAGCCAAGCCTCAGATGTAGGAGGAGAATCACCTGGTGAGTTAGTTATTAATTAATGATTTGAGCAAAAAAGTTTTTAGATCCCATTTTTGCAAAGTTGAGGATTTTTGATAAAGTTAAGATATTTTGTTAGGCATGTTATAAATCATGCTTTTATATTATACTGTTGATTGTTTAATAATTTCCAAATACATTTGAGTAGTATCAAATAAATTATATAAAGTTATTTCAGTATTTTTGTCACTTAAAGAAATTTTTCTTAATATTTAATGATAAGAAGAAATGTTCACAGTTGGTCAAGTAAAAAAAAAAATATGTGCAATACTTTACATATACCATGTAATCGTAGCTAAGTGAAGTATATATCTTTTATACATGGAGGAAGGTAGGCGATATACTCTGAAGTTACTTGATTATTTCCATGTGGTTGAACTACTGGCAGTTTTGATTTTTTAAGTTTCATGTTCGTATCTTTTTCAAAATTTTATCATTAATCTTGTATTTATACATAATTATACAATATTCAGTTTATTGAAAAAAAATTTCTACTTGGAAACTAAAATCTGTAGTAGTAGTATACAGAGTTTTGTGCTGTGTTGCCTTTTATTTTACTAAAAATTTAAAAAATTGCAAATAGACCTCACTTCAGTTTTAGGTTACGGAAAAATGGAATGGAAAGTTCAGAGTTCCATATACTACCTCAACATTCCCAATTCTCATTACTTCCCATTCCCTATTACTAACATCTTACAGTAGTGTGGTACATTTTTCATCATTGTTCTAGTGAGAAAATATGAAAGAAAATAAGTGTAGAACTCTACCACATTTTTCCATTATACTCTGATGCTTTTGTTTTACTTTGGAGGAGAAACAGTTTGATAATCTATATTAGGCTGGATGAAATTTCTGTTTTTTCACCCCCATCCAAAAACCCCTAAAAAAAAAAAATCAGCTGTGATTTTTCTGGAGCTGCTTCAGTTGGGAAAAAGGCAGAAGGTACTTAAATCTATGAAATTGCAGGCCATCTTTTAAACTCAGTGTTAGTGAATTTCTAATAACTTCCCAGAGCAAATGTAGTAAGTTTAGAGGTTCACAGTACACTGAGTAAAATATTTTCATCTTATTTTGAATATATTGCCTTTTAATTTCAGTTTATGGGACAAAGTAATTAAAGCAGTCCTCTGATTGCTTTTAAAAATATTTTCAAAATTTAAATCATGCAGTCTTCAGAAGAGATAAACAGGAAGCTGAGAGATATATGGGCAATACTGGATATAAAACAGTATGATATATTTATTTCTGAAGCATTGTATTTTTTTTCAGTATATCCATTATTATATAAACTCACCCTGAAGAACCATATGCAGAATTACAAAATAATTTGCTATTTTGAAGACTATTTATTTATTGGCAAGCCCCCACAAAACCCTGTATCCAGCCTATAATGTACCCTTTTCCCCCATTATTTAAGTTTGTTTAATTTCTGGTGATGTTTCTCAGATAGTTCCCAGGCTTTCCCATTTTGTGCTGGAATTGTTAGTTCTTTTCTTCTCCCTAAAACCCCTTAAGAGAAAAATTCCTCATTAAGTTATTCCAAATCTTTGTGGTGATGGTCTTTGTTTTTATCATTTGTTTTTCATATCATTTGACCCTTTCCTCTTTCACTGTGCTCTTGTTGTCATTGTTATATGATGTCTCCAGTTTACTTTCTTTCTTTTGTTTTATTATATTAATCACCATACATTACATCATTAGTTTTTGATGTAGTGTTCCGGTTCATTGTTTGTATAGAACACCCAGTGCTCCATGCAGAACGTGCCCTCTTTAATACCCATCACCAGGCTAACCCATCCCCCCACCCCCCTCCCCTCTAGAACCCTCAGTTTGTTTCTCAGAGTCCATCATCTCTCATGGTTCGTCTCCCCCTCCGATTTCTCCCCTTTCATTTTTCCCCTCCTGCTATCTTCTTCTTTTTTCTTTCTTTTAACATATATTGTATTATTTGTTTCAGAGGTACAGGTCTGTGATTCAACAGTCTTAACACAATTCAGTTTACTTTATTTCTATTCCATTCCATTAATTGCTGACATGAACCTTACTACCTTGATAGGGAAAATCTAACTCAATGTAGTGTTTTCAGTCATTGTACTTCTCACTCTCCTACAACCCCACTTTACATACTCTTGTTTACCATACTTGCCCATGTATTCTGTTCTTTTTTCACTTGGAATCCAAACTCCACAAATAGTTATCTCTTCACTGTCAGTATTTTTAACTGAGAGATTTTTGTTTTCTTTTTGGTAGTTCTCTTAATTTGTTATTTGCCATTAAAAAAAATAGGCAGCATATATATTTAAGTTTATTTTCCTACTTCTCGTTCAGGCAAGAATTGGGAGAAAATGATTTGTGGATGAATTGATAGTTGTTGTAATTGCATGCTGAGCTGGGCAGTTTATTCTTTTTTTTTTTTTTTAAGATTTTGTTTGTTTATTAGAGAGCAGGGGGAGGAGCAGAGGGTCAAGGACAAGCAGGGACTCGATCCTGGGACCCTGAGATCATGACCTGATCTGAAATTAAGAGTCTGATGCTTAACTGACTGAGCCACCCAGGCACCCCTGGCCAGTTTATTCTTGCAGATCTGGGTGAGTTAGGTATTAGTCTTGGTTTGATCTTGTATTATTTTCTTTGTATGAGGATATAGTCAATACCTGTTCCTGTGAATTTTAACCTTAAATCTTTGTGCCTTGGGATGACTTCAGTTCTGAATTTTATAGTGAGTCAGCAACAAAAAATGAACTGCTAAAATTTATTAATAGATTATTGATTAATAAAAAATATACTTGATAGTACATAGCAAAAAATGGGAATTTCCTTGGAAGAAACCATGTAAGTATAAAACATAAAATAGGACTTTTGTAGCAGAAACATTTAAACTATTTAGAAATTTTGGTATCAAAATGGGATTTCTAAATTTTACATGTGACACAATCAAAGAGAAACTAGAATTAGATAGTTGGATCCCAGAAAAAGAATTAGAGCTTGTCAGCTTTATGTGAGGTCAGAGATTCTTCTGTCATAATATTATCACCAACTAAAAAACAAAACAAACTAACAAAAAAGCAGAAGTAGACCCATAAATACAGAGAACAAACTGGTAGTTGCCAGAACAAAGGAGTATGGGGGGATGGGTGAAATGAGTGAATGGGAGTGGGAGATACAGGCTTCCAGTTATGGAATGAATAAGTCATATAGCATAGGAAATACATAGTCATTGGTATGGTAATTGCATTGTATGGTGACAGGTAGTAATTATACTTGTGTTGAGTATATCATAATATAGAGAATTGTGGAATCACTATGTTGTACATCTGAAACTAATGTAACATTGTGTGTCAACTGTACTTAAAAAAAAATCACCCAAATGTATAACTTTGCAAAAAAAATTGAAGATTTGTACATTTACATTTTAAATTGTGCATTACTGGAACTGTGCTTAGTGTACAAATTTTGATTATTATACAAATCTCAGATTTTAGTTCGGATAATATTCCTTAGCTTCTGTAACATTTTATTAGCAAAAAAGGATAGTCTATTAATAACAATGGCAAATCTTTCTTAGTAACTGATTTATCAGAGAACAAGGTATATGCATATTTTAAAAGAAAGCTAAAAGAGAAAACAGTTTTAGTAAATATATCAAAATCTGGAAATTTTCAAGTTACTCATCAGTACAGGTTTGATTGCCCAGAATACAGTATGTGTTATGATGCCATTACTCTTTTTTCAGATATGCTAAAATGTTTTTTTCTACCATGATGCAAAACATAAGTGAATAAAACAAAAATGAAGCTAACCCGATAAAGGAACAAAACAGACTGTTTTTTTCAGTGATTTATATGCTGGGTGTTTGCTAGGTTGTAAAATATAATAATTATATTTCTCATTAGAATATTAGGCTCTGTTCTGTTTATCAGAGCCATGCATATTTATTAATTAGCATGTTTAACATTGAAGAAAAATATTTGATTCTTTGCTTTGTATGAAATTTGACCCAAGAGACTTATATTTACTCAATCAATACAAGTTTCTTTTATTTAATAAAGAGTTTTTACTGGGCATATAGACTGTCCCTCCTGCAACTGGTCCAGAATTGGTGAGGAGGTGGGGGGAGTGAAAGGGGGAGGGAGAGAAATTTAAAAAATCCAGTGTTTAGGGATTAAATATTGGCACTTGTTTTAATGATACTTTATTTTAGAGGACATTATTTATTTAGACCCTTAGGGACTTTGAATAAACAGTTGGCTATTCCCTGGATAGATACTAGACAGATGATGTATTTGCATTTTCCTTTTTGTTCATTTGAATGTCTGGAAAACTGTCAGTTTGAAGGAGCCAGTTTATCAGTGCAATGATAAGGAAAAGATAAGTCAGCATCATTCCACATGTTCAAAGTAGCTTCTGCATTTACATATGTGTGATTGTGTATTAAAGATATTTAAAGTAAATTTAAAACAATAAATTAGTTATAAATTTATGATTTTATCTGAATTGAAAAATGCAGAATATTTGGAAATTACATTTTTTCCATGGCAGAAATGGAGGACAACCCCTATGAAATTACTGATATATTAGTTTATTTTTTTCGTGTGGTGTTTTCCTCCAATAATTATTGCTAGTTGATTTTTTTAAAGTTTTTATTTAAATTTCAGTGTAATATTAGTTTCAGGTATACAATTTAGTGATTCCATACAAGCACCCAGTGCTCATCACAACAAAATGTACCCTTTAATCCCCATCACCTGTTTCACCCATCCCTCCAACCTTTTTATCTTTGTTGGTACAGTGTTCTCTTATTATTGAAAAAGACTGTTTATAGAATCCTTTTCTACTGTAGTCTCTTTTAGGTTTGAAAATTGGCAACACTTGTAGGGTGGTGTCAGGAAGGCATTTTTGTTACTGTTTTATTTAGAGCCACCATTTCTCCTGTCTTCTTTAGACTTTGGATATGCATTTCAGCTTGTTAAAATTAGAGTCAG